GAGCGCACCTCAGAAATAAAATTTGAATGAACATGAGATAAAAACTGAAAGGCGTTTCCAATTCTCTGTATTGAGACATTGGAGCGCAGCTCTTGAGGAGGAGGATGGGAGGGTACGGAGGGGAGGGTATGCCCCTTATTCTCTTCCGCTCCCTCTCATTTTGCGGGAAATTTTCCTGAGTTTGGCATAAAAATTGACACGCTAAATTTAGTGGGACGATCTACCCGCTAAAATTAGCGGGAAAACTTCCGCTAAATTCCAGGCTAAATTTAGTGAATTAATGTTCGCTAAATTTTTCGCTAGATATAGCGGGAAAAGTTTTCCTCTAAACTGAACGGGTTAATTTACCTCACTAAAATTAGTGGGGTGATTGACATCGCGTGACAACACAAATTCAGTTTTCCCGCTAAATGTAGCGGGGAAAATGACGTCACATGACTTGGTGTCGCGTCACCCATGAACGAATTAAGTTTCTCAGCCAGATTCAGTGAAAAAATTGACGTCACGTGACCTCAAAATTAATTTCCCGCTAAGTTTAGCGGGGCACTTACGCCGACGCTGACGCCCAGAAATGGGTTCCAAAGAGATGCACTATAAAAAAACTAAATGTCTTACATGAAAAAGAAAAAGAGAATCTAATGGTGAATTCCGCTCGCAGATCTCGAGCGCTCCAAAAGCGCTCCATCCCAAGTAGCAGAACTCGCTGGTTTGGGAATGGGGGGGGGGGGGGGGGGGGGGGGGGGGGTACCGGTCTGCCTGCAAGATGGGAAACGCCCCGTGGGGCGACAATGGGCCAGTGAGATTGCAAGTCACTGGCCAGCGACTGGGACTGACTGGGACGCCCGGCACTGGGCGTCCCAGTGAGTTCCCGGGATGCTGCCAGCACAAACCCCCAGCGTAGTACCAGTAATACGGTAAGATACCAGCAAGACCCCAGGCTAGCGGCCTCAAGCCATACAGTTCCCGGTCTTTTGTTCCAGCGAGTTCCCGGGCTGCTGCCAGCACAAATCCCCGGCATAGTACCAGCAGTACCGCAAGATACCAGCAAGACCCCAGGCTAGCGAGCTAAAACCCTACAGTTCACGGTCTTGTTTTCCAGGCTAACATTTGGTTTTTTGCGCAATTCACACCTAATAGAAGTGATGTAGTTCATAACAAGGGTTATTTTAACACGTAATGTGTGTAAACAATAAATGAAACATACAAAATTGTTACCGTAATTGTTTATTGTCAGTTGCAGTGAAGCTACAGTCGGCTGGTAATCATGCGCTTGTCGCCAGAGGAGTGCGCTGAATGAAAGAGGCTGCATGTCACGGGCATAGGAAATTTTCTTCACACTTCTCATGCAGCTTGTGATGGAAGTCGACCATGCACCCGAGAAGGCAAGCCCTTCATTACAGCACCTGTAAAGAGAATCGACACCACAGTAGAATGATAGGGTAAATCAATACCAGCTGCACGTGACAATCCAGAAATTCTAAACTGGGGTGAGGGGCATGAGACAAGCAGCCCATGTAAAAGGAAATTTTTTTTGTAGCTAATGAACTAATTGTCTTTATTTTATCTTCAATCTGGAAACTATATCAAAACAAGAATCCCTGAGGGACACACCTGTAACAACACACTGGACGACCAAGGGGCGAAAATGGTCCAGTTATCTCATAATCAAGGTCAGCTATTTGTATGAAAAATGCCCACTTCAGAGAAAGGCTTGTGGAAATCATCTATTTTAAATCAAAAGGGCATGTCGAGAGACGGGCGAGCTTGGAAGAGTAGTTGGCATGTAGTTTAACACTGACGTTTGTTACGATAGGTGCGCAGTCCCCGATATCCACATTCAGCATTTTTAGGTAGACATAGCGATTCATTAGCCTTACTGAGACAATGACAAATCATATCCTTGACATATACAGCTCACCGTTGTACACATACTAATGAGATTGGGTAGACACAGGTAAATATGTAATGCATGGCAGAGTATAACCCCCCGGTTCCCACATAATGGCAACTTGACGACTAAAAGTCATCTGCAGACTTCATGAAATAAAAAATAGCGACTTACACACAAACTAGTATATATTGTTAGCGTCCACCATCAAACTCACATTGAGTGTTTTCCATCGGCATGCCCTAGCCCTTTAAAATGCCCGCAAGCCTCACTTACTTTAAGCATGTGACATCCCATGAGATGAAACATTCCCTCGTTATCATCATTAAGATGTCTACAGGTGCGAACAGTTCAGGAATATCAATTGAAAGATACCAAATCAGTAGTGAGGTAGTGTACAGTGGTTGATAGATGCAGGTTAATATGTATGGGACATCTATTTTCTAAGTGATATTGTTTATCTGGTCAATTTTCTTCACATACCCATCACATACTGGGACAAGGTTTTCAATACAGTGGAAAACAGGAAGGAGGAGTGAGTTCCAGATTTAGTTTGACACAAGTTATGTGGCAACTGACTTCATCCTCTTAGAATTTATTAGAGTGAATCTGGGTATAAGGATGTCTAGCCCGACAATACTGCCAGGAGCACATGTTCCAAAACCTTCAGAAACGGGTAGAGGAAGTTTTCATCATAATTTCCGTATTGCGATAAGAGCTGCTCACACTGAGAATTGATGTGAGCAGTGTCGGCCATCTTTCTGTCTAAAATATCTATGCGTCAGCCACCCCCTATCAGAAAAAGGTTTAGCTGAGCGCTTTTTACGGCCCGCTCCGCTCAGCCACTGAGCGGGAAAGTAACCAGGCATGCACGTAACGCTCAGTCGGCAGTGGCCATAGGGGTGCAGGAATTGTCTGCTCCATCGGCATCTGCGCTCCGGTTGGTCGTTGCTGACTGAGCGTTGTGCGCATGCAGGTGCTTTCCTTTTGAGTGGAGCTGGTCTAACAATGCTCAGATAGAACTATTAATGTATATGTCACAGCCTCAACAGCCAAACGTGCAGTCTCTTCTGCCTCGCCTGCACAATAGACCGAAATTGCACCGCATACTGCTTTAGAGGCTTGCTGGCATGTTTCACACTCACTCTCTGCAGACAGCTAGGACTGTCGGTAAGCGATGGAAAAAAAAAAGAGTGTGATCACATATCATGCACGCCAAAAGACAACATCAATGGGACTACAGGAGACTGCATTAAAGTTGCCAATTGGGCGCGTTTTATACCGCACAGCCACACTGTGTACACAAGTCAACTAGCTATATACATACCGCTCAGCACACCACAGCTAGGCTGAATCATATAAGTGTCACACTTGCCGAGCTTGAAGTACAGTCGTGATTTCTACGAATGTGAACAAGCGATCGTCGACTGCTCAGTACTGGGAACATTAAGCACGAGCTGACTTGCTCTCCTTTTAAGATGCCTTGCGAACGAAGCATGGTAAGTCGTCTGATGAGGAGAGAACGTCACCACGGACAGCACTAAGCAGTTGATAATCACCTGCTTACCTACATATGTATCAAGTCTCTACCTGGCCGAAGTAGGCAGTGCGTGTGAAGCAGAAAAGGCTGTACTGAAATCTCAAGAGGATGAAGTATCAGAACAGGCTTGGTAAGGTCTCACGTTCCAAGTATGGCCATGCAAATATCACTTTCTAAAACATAAAAACGCATTTCAAACTGCCATCCAGGACAAGCTGCTATTACACAGCTGTATATATAAGCCAGCTTACCATCAACAACCTTTGCAGACTGCCATGGACCTGACCCTCGGCTTGGCTGGTGATGCAGGAACGAATTGGCCTAGTCGATGCTAGCTTCCGTTCGGCGAGGGCTGCACTGAGGGTAAAGGTGAAAAAAGTGTTGTAGATTATGTGAAACAAAAAAAAACAAAAAAAAAATATACCCTAGCATCAACAATTCGCTAGAGGCACTGAAAACAAAAATCAGAGGTTGGGTCAATTATGTTAATGCAATATACTTCGGACAGGTACCATGACTGCAGGTAAGATATTTGCTGCCTTCAATCTAGATATGCTTGAAAATTTACAAGCCAAATAACAAATCTTTTATAAGCTGAATTATATTTCGATGAAACTACAAAATCTGAAGACTATCTCTGCAAACATGCTGCTATCTAGTACACCAGAGATGACTAGAATTGGATTAAAGCGACCCCCTTACAAATATTGAAGCAAAACAACTATGGAGTCTGCCGTGGCACTACAACAGAAACGACACTACTGTGATCTCGTGGAGATCAGAGTTCGGAACAGGTGCGAAGGGTTTGGCACGAGAAATATGCAATTCAATTCAATTCAATTCAATTCAATTCATTTATTTACTCCCATTTGTACATATGGGTGACGGAGACAGGGAAAAGCGACAAGGCGATGCGATCTCAAGGCTCTGCCTTGAGATCGCATCGCCTTGTCGCTTGCCTCCTCTTAATCCTTTGTTTTTCAATTCCATTACCTATTTATCTATACCTGAAGAAACTCAATTTTCGTTTTTCTTGTATAGCCATCGCACATGACGTAATCCCAATAAACATCGTCATCTTCTGTTTTGGTTTTGTCAAAACATGGCGTACGGCTCGTTCCTCGCGGCGGAGTTCTGACATTTTGGTGCCGAAAACTCGGGATGACAACGAAATAGTCACGACGGAATGACGACGGGGCATCCACCCGCAGCGAAGCGAGCCAAGGGACGCCACAAGAGAGCGAGCTCCAACGACGCTACCGACGTTATCACTCAACGAGGCCTAGTGACGTCGCAACGAAACGCACCAAGAAAACGCGCCAAGGGACGCCGCAAGAGAAGAGCTCCAACGAAGCTACCGACGTTATCACTCAACGAGTCAAGGGACGCCGCAAGAGAGCGAGCTCCAGCGACGCTGCTGACATTATTACTCAACGATTCCTAGTGACGCCGCAACGAAACGAGCCAAGGGACGCCGCAAGAGAGCGAGCTCCAGCGACGCTACCGAAGTTATCGCACAACGAGGCCTAGTGACGCCGCAACGCCAGCAGCGCCGCGAGACCCAGAGACGCCATGGAACGACTAAAGCAGAAGCGGACGGCTCTGAGGTCTCATGTAACGAGGCTGATCTCCGCCATCGACGCAGTTATCGCAAGCCACTCCGACGAGCGAAGCCTCAACGTATTATCGGTGAGGCTCAGTGAGTTGCGAATACAGCTGAGCAACGTGAACGCATCCATCGAACCACTGGTACCTGACGGAGACGTTGAGCAAAACTACGCCCGCACGATTGAATATGACGACAAGTTCGTCACGTACATCGCCACCATCGCACAGGTGGTAGAGGAACTCCGACGAGCGAGGCCCCAAGCTGGTACAACGCGGATTCACAACGACGGCGACGGACACGTTGCAACCTCTAAGGTGAAGCTGCCGAAACTGGAGCTTCAACGGTTTGGCGGTGCAGCTACCGATTGGCAACCCTTCTGGGAACAGTACAAGCAAGCCATACATGACAACGACAGCCTCTCTAACGCTGAGAAGTTCTTGTACCTGCGGTCGACGTTTACGGGAAAGGCGGCATCGGCGATAGCCGGCATTCAAGCAACGGGAGAGGAAAACTACAATACCGTCGTTGAGCTTCTCAGGGAGCGCTTCGGTCGGACTGACGTTCTCATTCAAGAACACCTCTCCCAACTACTTGATTTACCAGCAGTACAACACTCGAGCGAGGTGAGCGGATTGCGACGTCTCTGTGACCACTTGCAACGTAATAGGGCCGCTCTCACCGCGCTCGGGGTGAAGAGAGACACTTACGGAGCTATGCTCTGCTCTGCGCTACTGAGAATGCTGCCGGGAGAGTTAGTCATTGATTACCACAAGTGCCGACGTCCTACGGACAAGGAAAACGACTGTATCAAAATAGAGAGCCTACAACGCTTCCTTAAGCTCGAAGTGGAGAGCCGTGAAGAGGCTCAACAAGTCCGTCAGCGAGAAGCCGAGAGTATGAGCCATAGCAAAATAACAGAAGGCGGAAAGGCTTCTCTGAAGGGATCAGCCGCTGCTCTTTCCTCAACTAGTCGCTCCAAACAGACTGAACATCAATTTCTCTGGAGGAGAAGAACCAAAGATTTCGAGAAGCAGGACGATGTTTCCGGTGTTCGATCAAGGGACACACCTCCAAAGAATGTCGCAACTAAAGAATCATGTGTGAAACATCCGGGCGAAGGCACATAACTCAAATGTGTGACCCATCCTGGAAGAAAAGAAAGAGCACCGCAGCAGAGTTGCACTCTTCGACTGGCAGGAAGAGCGATAAAACACCTGCTGTACTACTTCAAACAGCTCAGGTCTGGACAGAAGGGAAACAGCAAAGAGCTCTCACGCGCATCCTTTTTGATGGAGGAAGCCGACGAACCTTTGTGATGGAAGAACTTTCACGTAAGCTGCAGCTCGAGGTTGTTGGTGAAGAAGACATTACTATCTACCCTTTTGGAGAAGTAGGAAACGTCATCAAGGAAAAACGCAGAAGGGTACGAGTCTGGCTAAGGAGCCAGTACAGCCAAAAGAAGCACTGCCCAGAAGCTCTGGAGATACCAAAGATTTGCTCCGATCATCTTCTTCTACCTGAGAGTGTTGTGCAAGGAGTCCAAGTACAGATAGCTGAGCTGGCAGACGTCACCTTGCCACCAGCCCAGTTAACAAGACGTGGCATTGACATTCTTATTGGTGCTGACTACTATTGGACTCTTGTCTCTGGTGAGGTCCAAAAAGTGCAAGGCGCTCTAGTCGCTGACAAAACAGACTTTGGATGGACACTTCAAGGACCGATTCCCCACGGCGGTTTGACTGCCTGCTGTTCTACTGCGGCAGTTCTGAAGGCCAATGTGGGTGGAAGCACATGCTCATTGTCTACCGAGCTCCGGTCATTTTGGGAGCTGGAAAGCATGGGCATCACCGATCCTAACCTCCCACAAAAGGAAGAGGAGAATGAAGCTGTCAGAGCATTTACATCATGCATCAAGCTAACTACCGGACGGTACGATGTGGCCTTACCTTGGAAGCCAATGAATCTTCAGCTGGCAGACAACGAAGTGGTTGCAAGGAAGCGTCTGGTGAGCCTCACAAAGAAGTTGCTTAAGGACGATGTGATGCTGACTGAGTATGATCAGACAATTCGCCAGTATCTCCAGCAAGGATTTGCGGAAAAGATTTCCCCGAATGCAGACAAGGCAGAGAACCGAGTGTACTACATGCCTCACCGTGCTGTGTTACGACCTGACAGCCTCTCGACCAAGGTCAGAGTCGTGTTTGATGCGTCGTCAAGAGAACCAGGCTGTCTGTCTCTGAATGACGCACTAGAGCCAGGACCAAACCTGAGTCCAGACCTCCTGAAAGTGTTACTGAACTTTCGGATTCATCGTATCGGCCTCAGTGCAGACATTGAGAAGGCATTTCTACAGATATCACTGAGACTGGAAGATCGTGACGCTCTACGATTTTTCTGGTGCGAACGAATGCCAACGAAGCAAGAGCCGAACCCTCCTGTAGAGGTCTGGAGGATGACAAGGGTTCCTTTCGGAGCGACCAGTAGCCCCTTCCTTCTCGCAGCCACGCTACGTCACCACTTGTCGATAACAGAGGACTATCCGGAAACAACGAAATCACTAGCCGGAAGACTCTACGTCGATGATCTTATCACCAGAGCGAACACCGAGGAAGAGGCGGAACAGTTCTATCGACAAACATTACATGTCATGAAGCTAGCCGGAATGACAATGCGGAAGTGGAACACAAATTCTACGGAGCTGCAGCAGCTATTCAACAAGGAAGGAACCGGGTGTGTTCTAGATCAAGTAGAGTGTACCACCCCTAGCGTTTCTCGAGTGTTAGGACTTGTCTGGGACAAAGACAGCGATTGCCTGGCGTTCTCCATGGGGCCTGTTTTGGAATTCCTAGACCGGAACTGCGACACGAAAAGATTCATTCTCCAGGCATCATCTCGCATTTATGACCCATTAGGACTCCCTTCCCCAGTCACCGTGACAGCCAAGCTGATGTTCCGAACCCCCTGGGAACTGGGTGTCGACTGGGACGCGCCACTACCTGAAGAGGTTCAAACAAGATGGACGCAGTAGCATATAGCACTGCACCATTTAACGAAAGTGACAGTACCCCGAAGGTGCCTTGAACTTCCTGAGGATGACCGAAATGAAGTCCACATATTCACAGATGCCAGTCCCAAGGCTTATGGGGCTGTGGCGTACCTGTGCACGCAGACTGCACCAATGAGGGTGACTTTGGTTTTGTCCAAGACCCGGGTGGCGCCGCTATAGAAACTTTCTTTCTCAAGACTTGAATTGATGTGAATGGTGATAGGGGCACGGCTGAAAGATTACCTTACTAGGTCGTTGAACCTACAAGTTGCCAGCTGGTACCTCTGGACAGACTCAACAATCGCACTACATTGGGTGCGAGGTTCTGCTCAGCAGTGGAAGCCCTTTGTGGCCTATCGAGTATTAGAGATTCAACAGCTGACTGATCCAGAGCTTTGGAACCATTGTCCTGGACTAGAAAATCCGGCTGATCTGCTCGCAAGAGGGGTGGCACCCGAAGCACTCAAGTCGAGTGCGGCATGGTGGAGCGGACCGCCATGGCTCACGGAGCCACCTGCTGCCTGGCCAACGCATGAAGCGGGTGTTGATATGACCGCGGCTGATGAAGAGAAGAAACAAGTTCGAGTCCACAGCGTGACACTGAAAGAAGAACAGGTTTTGCCTATGCAGCGCCACAGTTCCCTCTCGAAGCTTGTTCGAGTTGTTGGCTGGATACGACGATTTATACATAACTCTAGACATTCCAGCCAAAAACGCGAGGGTTATTTGACGACCGAAGAAGTAGCACAAGCTCAAACGTGTCTGATCCTGCAGGTTCAACAGGAGGCGTTTCAGAGAGAGCTCCAATGCGTTCGACGCTCAGCACGCATGGAAAGCAACTCTTCGTTACGGGACTTAAACGCATACCTGGACAAGGACGGGGTGCTGAGGGTCGGAGGACGCCTCAGTAACGCTGACATGTGTGACAATGCAAAGCATCCCATCATTCTTCTATCAAGCCATCCTTTTACCGAGCTTTAAACCAATGCTGCGCATCGACGACTTCTCCACGCTGGCCCCCTTGAGACTCTGACAGAACTGCGGGAACAGTTCTGGGTCGTTCAAGGAAGACAGATGATAAAAAGGGTGCTGAAGAAATATGTGATCTGTGACCGTGTCAACAGCCGAGCGGCCACCGAGCCAGTTGCTCCACTCCCTCGAGACAGAGTAACCCAAGCGGCCCCCTTTGAGGTGACTGGTGTGGACTTCGCGGGACCACTCAACACAAGGGATAAAGGCAACAACAAGAAGTCTTACATCCTCATTTTCACCTGTGCTGTTACCCGTGCCATTCACCTCGAACTAGTGACCAACATGTCCACCCCCCATTTTTTGATGGCCTTCAGACGATTTGTGTAAAGAAGAGGAGTCTGCAGAGTCATCTTTTCTGACAACGCAAAAACGTTTCAGCGTGCTTCAAGGGACCTCAAGAAACTGTGGACCACGTTGCGTGGAGAGGAGATACCAGCCTACTTCGCTGATCGGCAGATACAGTGGAAGTTTATAATCGAGAGAGCTGCCTGGTGGGGTGGGTTCTGGGAAAGGATGGTCCGGTCGGTGAAATCCTCGCTCAAGAAAGTTGTGAGTAGCAGCTACTGCAACTTCGAAGAGCTGACGACCATCTTAACTGACATTGAGGCTGTAATTAACTCAAGACCTCTGACATACGTCTACACCGAAGCCACCAAAAAGGAACCACTCACCCCTTCCCATTTTCTGGTGGGAAAGCGTTTAACTGCACTTCCGACCAGCTTTAGCGTGGAGCCTGTGCCTCCCCTTGAAGGACAATACAACAGGCGGTGGCGGTACCGTCAAAGGATGGCAGATCAATTTTGGCGTAGATGGAAGAGGGAATACTTGACCAGTTTGCGATCTGCTCATTTCACGGTGCCGACTTCCTCCAGTGCCCTGAAGAAAGGAACTCTAGTGTTGGTCCACCAACATCTCCAACCTCGACAACTTTGGAAGACGGGAGAAGTCGTAGAAGCATTGACTGGACGAGACGGGCACATACGAGCTGCTATGGTGCGTCTTCCGAATGGTACCATTGTTAGGAGACCCGTACAACTTTTGTACCCCATGGAATCTATTTATTATTGGCTTGACGTCATTGTGGGGGAGTGTGAAGAAACTCAATTTTCGTTTTTCTTGTATAGCCATCGCACATGACGCGATCCCAATAAACATCGTCATCTTCTGTTTTGGTTTTGTCAAAACATGGCGTACGGCTCGTTCCTCGCGGCGGAGTTCTAACAAGTACAGGCATGCAAGAAGGAGTATAGAAGCAAGATATACATATATATATCTATATCTATCTATATATATATATATATATATATATATATATATATATATATATATATATATACATATATGGAAGCACGATATATATATATACTTCTGAACACTATATGTTCGTGAGCCATCTTGAAGCTTATGCTTATTTGAGGTTTGTGTGAGCGCGGGCAGTAGCTTCTTTTAAGTGAGTTTGAAAAAGTTTATCGAGTAACGGCTGACCAGGCCCTCAAGTTGAGTAGTCTGGTAATCGAGGAACAAGTCCGCATAGGCACAATCTTCTGTGATCGATGGCAATTAAAATATTTATCTCAAAACACACACACACACACACGCAGGCACGCACGCACGCACAAACACACATAATACACGCAGACGCACACACAAACAAACACACTGGTTGAGGCAATTTGCTACACTGTTCACGCTGAAACGGCGTATGCCGAAATTCTCAATGTTTTGTTTTCGAGCAAGAAAGCCTGTAATTAAAACTGCTCTAGTCAATGACAAGTTAAAAGACGCAATGTGTGGTGAGTCTCGGGCACCTTGTTAACGCCCCCTGGTCAATCATATCGCGTGCCGTTAGCCAATAAGAGCACATACAAATGAATGACGTAGTAAAAAAGTTTAAAGTGGCACTGACACATGAAATCACTTTTTTTTAATTGTTTGAAACGATTGAAATCGGTGCTTGGACATTACCCTCAAAATTTGAAACTTGGAAATTCAGTATTTGTGAAGTAAAAAATTAATTTCCAAATGGCCGAATTAGAAGTTCCCACGCGATCCGCGCCGGTGGAGTGACGTCAAATTTTGAGGGCTCCTGAGAGTCGAGTTTCTTTCGCGCCTCCGCTCCGAAACGTGTCTCCTCCACCCGAATCGAGGAGAGAAGGGCGCCGGCGTCGCGGGAACTACCGTACCGGGAAACCGGTTTCCTGCGTGCGTGCCGTGCTGCCGGATGCTTCGAGCACACGACGGTGCCCCGCCTATGTCGCAACCAAAACTACGATACACAGACACAAAACCCAGCTGTTTTGACGGTTTAACAATTTCCTTTTCGAGGTCTGAGAGATCCTCGGGCACTTTAAAAAGACCACTTCATTCAATTCCCCGACTCAGCGATCACCCTTTGCTATACACGGGTCGAGCGCCGTCATGTTTTCGAAGGGAGGATAAAAATCCGGAAGGTGAAATCACAACAGACTACGATTTTTGGTATTTCGAAAAGATGGGCCGTAGTGCATTCGTAATTGCGTCAAAAAACATGTTTTCGGACTGTAGTGCTTAGACGTTATAGAAATGTTGTCTACAAAGCTTCTAAATGTTATTATTTGTGACGTCACCAATCAAAAGAAACAGGGAGGTGACGAGCGAGAGAGGAAAACGCCAAAAATAAAAAGACGGGCGCTCGGTGAAGAATTATTATTATTATTTTTTTTTTTTTTTGCGATGCGGTATTTGTTTTGTGTGTCCACGACTACGACGTGCATCCTTTTAGACATTAGAAAGATACGACCATCGGAGTGTCGGTGCCCCTTTAAGCTACCCGAACCAAAAGGGAGTGAGGTGCCCCTTACCGGCCTGTCACGACAAATTTACCCTCCGCTGCTAATCCATCACGAAAAAAAAAAACAAAAAAAAAAACGACCCAATTTCTTTGTTGCTGCTCGAATGTCGGGCAGTCCACGCTATGTAAGAGTAAATATAAACAGCCAGACAATATAAAAAATCCTTGATTTTTCAGAAACTCCTCGTAGATGCTTGCAGACTACAGACAAGACATGAGATCGCCCAAAAACTCTAAGCTCCTATGTAGCTGTGTATGCTACAATTGCTTTAGAGCAATACTAGCTCACTCGGTACTCATCGAACCCTGTCTTTCTTAAGCTGTCAGAGGCTCCAGAGAACATCATTTGATATAGTGAGTGAAGTAAGAAGTGCGAACATAACAGATCACACCATGCACTTTTTAAAATGTCAGCGACTACATTCTAAAAACTTTCTCCTTTCAAGGAGAAGAAGAAATGTCCGATGAAGTCCTCCGGCAAGGGAGCACAATTTTCTTATTCCAAAAGGTTGGGAATTTTATCCTCCCACGGTTCGATTCTCCTTCGATTCCCACGAACGGAGTAAAACCTCTTCCCCTAAACCAACATGGCGGAACGTTAGTGCGAGCCGGGTCCAAAGGCTCGTCCATCTGCACGGCTCTTCACCGTAATAAGAGCGAACGGCGTATACTCCTTTCCGGCGTCTTTCAGGTGCACAAGAGACTCTAAAAGAGCCGTCTTCAAGCACGAACCTCATATCTCGTACGGGAACGCGATGAAAAATGAGCACACAAAAGACAAGGACAAACGCGAAAGGAACACAGAACAAAAACAGGCGCGTGCCTGTTTGTGTTATGAGTTTCTTACTCGTTTTTTCTTGTCTTTTGTGTGCTATTTTTCATCGTGTTCAACGTTTACCAACTCGCAAAGCTTACCACTTTACTTTCGCACGGGAAACACGACAGTGTTCGCATAGGGCGATTCGGCGCTTAGGGCCACGTAATGTGATCGATGTGGTTTCCACCAAACGGCGCTTCAAACCAAACAGAAAAAAAAAAATCGAAACTTCGCCGCTTGTATTTTTTTTGCCATTCAAGTTCTGAATACACAGACAAACGTGAATATACAATACAATCCACTTACATATACAAACAGCAAACAAAGCACACATTCAAGAGCAACACAAGGCAGAAACCCGTAACGACAGACACTTTGAATGGTTCACCCGATCGCTATGTATGGCAGTCTTTTTTTTAATATTCCAATGAGATACTTATAGGCACATCTCTTCTAATATCCATGTAAAGGCCGACGAAATATTATGACTACATAATATTTCTATAGATTTTTTTAAGGGAATTGTATATACCTCTTAATCTAACGCCTTTAAAATTGCCGCAATAGATTAATTAAGTAATTCCTATAAAAACTTTTTAATGTTGATTTTATGAGTCCTGCGAAAGTACAGTATTTACGGTGATTCCTCTTATGGGTACTACCAGTTATTAGATATTAGTGAATTATTGTATCACCGCGACAAATATTCTTCTATCTAACAATCTCCGAGCCACAAAACACTCACGAAAGACGGCCTTTATGTAACCGCTATACGCTCTCTTTATCAATTCTGTTTGTGTTAAAATTAAACTACCTGTTTATTGCCGTAAACTAAAAGGTGCTTCCCAATAACGCTAATGGGCTTCGAATATACCACAACGGGAGAGATCATTCTCACATTTTTGTATGTGTGTAAAAGAATTACAGCTCTCGATTGAGCCCATGTAAACCGCAAACGCCGAATCGTGGTTCATCTAGAGGTTCTTTTTTGTTGTGACAAATTTGTGGTCTGGAAATTTCCATAGCTTGAGCAAGTCTTTTCACTCCCTTTTGAAATTTTGAAATATTAACAAAAAACTACCGATTTAAACGTTGGGGCAATTCTTAACTTCATAACTTTACTCTAAGCTAAATAAATCAGTCTTTATACTAGCCAGACTTGGTTCCGCAAGGAACAAGCCAAAATACGCGGCACAGGCAACGAGGCACAACCCAACACGCCAAACCAGTGAAACGAAACCAGCCAAACCTAGCTTACTGTGGGCTCCACGGCCCCGCCATTTCGCGGCGATCGCCCAGTGTTGCTGGATGTTTTTCTAATGCTGCTAAATGCTTTATTGGTTATTGTTTGCAAAAAGCAAAGAAAACGTCACTGAGTTCTTTCAGGTTTTACCCCATAAAAGAGTTTACCAGGACGTTATTTAACAGAAAGGTAAACTAAGCCGCTGTTTTCTCCGGTCTTTGGCAAGCGTTGGCTAACTTTCGTTAAATGGAGCGCCGGGCTCGTGACCGGCGAAAGGTTCCCCCAAGCTTTATATTAATACAATCTAAATTCAGCACCCCAATCTAATGCCTCCAAGGATGTAAAAAGAAATTGAGCACTCAAGTTCTTGTCCCTGCTGTCACCGATCTGACCACCGCTGTGGCCACGAACATGCAGGAGGAAGTGATTTTTCTTTCTTTAAGTGCTACAAGACGGCACTGAATGTCAATCTGTTAAATGAAGGAGAGGAAACAACTTCCTTTCCTTCCGTTGGCGAAAGGGAGGAAAATCGATTTATCCTACAATTCCACCCCCCCTCTTTTTTTTTATAGTGCATAGTCAACTACGGTCGGTGCTCGCGTCGTGCAGTGGTGGACAACATTCAAGAGGAAATTGGAGCAACGAGCAGATGTCTTGCTAAAATACGACATCAAGTTTTTCGTGGTATACGGCAGGCAGCAAGCAAAGTTCACCGCTTTATGCATTCTAGTCCTGTCCCTTATTGTCTTCACCTGTTGGAGAGGTGTATGAAGAAAGCAATTACCCATTAATGCAAGATCTCGGTCCACCTCTCGCCTCAGTATCGCCAGCATTTGCCTCACTCCGGCTTCACCCTGAAAACGTAAAGAAGCCTTGTTATAGACACACATGTGTGGTCCGGAATAAAATGACAATATTGTCCGCATGTCTCGTGTAGCGATTTTGTTATCCGACGACCGCAGGCAGATGAAGAGGCTCTTTCACGCTAAAGTTTAAGACGGTAGCTATAGTAAAAACATAAGCATTGTAGAGTTTATGACCATACGCGTGGTGACGAGTAGCGAGGCGAGAGTTGATGTCTATGGGGGTTCTGTAAACCCGTCACAATCCGCAAGCATCATACAAAACACATGGTGTTCCCGGTGGACATGGTGAAAAAGATATGTGCAAACACGCCTCAAGTATTATCGAAGCATATCTGTTCTACATACGTGTTTGCTTCGAACATGTCTGGATGCAGTTTTTGCATAATACATTCGCTCATCATGGAACTCAAGAAAGCAAAGTTTTATCAAATATCAATTGGTTGGGGAAATATGGAAAGGTTTGATGCTGCTTAGGTTACCTTAAGTTAATGGTTATACTGTGCATAAGGTCGCGGACATTCAATCAGACAAGGAAAGTTGAAGAACTTGCGCAGACTGGAATCGGGAGCATATCGGAACACACCAAATAAGGAGGGACCGGGGGACATGACCTGGCCGTTTCGTGAGAGGAGTGGGGCAATTACTAAACTTAAAATTGAAAGAGTTTGACATAAATGGAGGATAGCTGGAAGGCTTGGAAACTAAACGAGCAATTAGGCCGAAATAGTTGCACAAAACAAAAAACGAACGAAGTGAACCCGAAGTCTTTTCTTGAAATACCTCAGCTGCTTTTGCACGGGTTGTGGTAACATCAGAACGACAAGCTCAAATTGCCTGTGATGGAAGGAGAGTGGTTAGATTTCAAAGCAAGCTCCCTTGTGCCTTAACCAATATCCTTCACATCGAGCGTGATCGGCGTTCTGACTTTACCGCAACCCCTGCAAAGGTAGCAGACGGAATTGCGCTCTTCATAATCACAAAAGTGTGTTAAACTATTCATGGAGAAGGTCTAAAGAAGCGTGATAGTAAAAAAAAAACTGATGAAGCAAATTATTTGCGAAAATCTTAATTTATAAAAACAATTTTTATGGGATAGTTGTGTTTATAGGCCAGGTAACGCCAACTACCGCCCGATACAGAGGTTGATGCATGGCATATCCAGTACCAGAAGGTCGAACCGGATTCGGAACCGAACCAGACCTAACCGGAAACCGGAACAGAACCACTATTTTAGCCGAACCGGAACTTAACCAAACCCAAAACTTTGCCGCCATTTTTGAACTGAACCGGAACTCAACCGGAAAAAAATATAACGGCAACATGTCCAAAGTGGACATGTTGCCGTGGTGTATTCGGTGTATTGGCATACACCGAAGTGCACTGCACTTCGGTGTATGCCAATTTGATCACTACATAAAAATACAGCTGACAATTTTTATTTCACAAACATTCATTTTGTTACAAAAGAAATACCGTGCGGCGCTTCGAACATCTTTCCGTTGTATTTTTTTCCGGTTGAGTAAGAGTAGGATAAGAGCAAGATATGAGGAATTATGGGTTTTCCTGGCGCTTTTTTACTGGCACTGTGATTCATCATGTGGTCCCGTGACGCAGTCAAGTGACTCAAAGTCGACTTACATTGAGAGTGTCACTAGGTTTATTAGTGTTATTCTTGACGCCGTGACGTCAAATGGCATCATGACTTACCACGAGTCACATGACACTGTGACGTACTCGATTGCCATCAGCAGTGCTCATGTTCATCACAAACAGGATCGCGAAACATTCGAATAATAGCTCGAGTACAATCCAAAATGAGGATAGCCGAACACTAGCAATGTCTAAAGCTCAACCCATGCTCGCTCCTTTTCCAACCTCATCGAATCACTATGATATACGTATAATATGCGTATATGACACGCATAAATCAGAAATATTATCTGCTGCATTGCGTAATAATAATTAGAAAAAGTCATCACTTCTTGACAAATGATTAAACACAGGTGCAAGAAAACAAGATTATATTTTTTCTGCTAATTCACATGTACGGAGAATATAGTGGGGAAAATCCTAAACACGCCAGTCTCACTCGCTTTTTTCATTAACCAAGATATCAGGCGTTAATATCCTTCTGCACTCATAACACTGACTCTGCACACTTGGGACTATATGGTTCTGAACTGCCTCGCTGCACTCCCTGACGGAGCCTCGTTGCGCTGATCACCAGTAAACTTAGTCCATTCGATTTTTTTAATTATTAATTTCGCTTCGGCTCTCCCTCCCCGCCCCCTTGGTGGCTCCGAGTGCGAGTGTCGGACGGATCCCGAGTTGGCTGGTCCAAACCTCGGCCAAGATGCCCGTATTGTGGCGTGAAGCCCATTTCGGAGAAGACATGGTGTAACCGAGATTTTGACTGCATTACCGTCTAGAGGTTCGAAATTCATCCTCAGTTTTCCACTCGTGCGTGCCTTCCCCTCCCTTCCATCTTCATTTTATATGACTCCCTCTCCCGTTTCTTCCCGCCCCCTTCGCCTGTTGAACGGACACAGCCGCCACGTTCGTTTGTTATTTGAGCACCTCGTCCTTTTGCTTACCTTACAGAAACACGCACGTGCTTTTGTTTCATCCCGACCTCTACCAATGACGGCCAGCGCTTGCCAGTCCCGCTTTTGCATATTTTTAAACATACATTACGTTGTCATTTGATTGGCGTTCCCCTACTGGCCTTCTAACGCGGACAGGGACGCGTTTCGGAACACTTTCTCTCAGTATACTCACAGGAGTGTACGAAAACCAAGGAAGGGCCGATTATGCTCGCGGTTCTGTCCTTCTGATCCCTTCGTCGCTGTTCTTATCGGATAGTTCCGCAATGCACTCTGCTGCGGAGAGCTAATAAGATGCTCGGAACACAATCGCGCCCTCCGCTTTTTGAGCTGTCGGTGGGCATATACGAGAAAAAAAACGGCGAAATCGGGACGCGTTCGCCGTGACCGCGCCGGGACTTCAAAGCAGTCCCCTAGCGGCCCTTGCAAACACCATCTAGATAGCAGGGCCGTAGTGATAATTTTGTTTACGTTACGCAGAAAGACGAGCGCGGGGGGCGATATCGGAGACGGTATTGCGTCAGCGTCCATCCGGAAGTTGTGCGATTTTATGAGGCAACACTGGTAACAACAGAACGATGGACACAGCACGTGTGGGTCCATGCCCTATAGCCTCTTGAAGGTTACCTGACCATAGACCCTTTTTAAGAAGTCCTCACCATCACCTGTCCGTCTATGCTTGAGCACATACTCTGAGCATGTGTTGGACACGAGTGTTGTCTCATTCCCAAGCAATGGCGATCACGAACGCTGCTATGTGCACTTTCGAAGGGGGTTTGTTCTAGCACCGTCTTGTGAGCAGGAGGCGTTCTCATTGGTATGCAACAAGCAGTCGGTGTGATTGCTATGCGACAGATCCCTGAATAGCGGCAGACTTCAATAGTATCCTAGTGACCTCGGGGACCTCTGGCCTTGCATCAACAAAAAAAAGGTTTCCTGTCCAACGGCGACACACCGAATACGTCCTGGCAAATCTCAGCTAGGACTTCGTCAATAGACTGGGAAGTTGGTTCAGCCTATATGCTTGAACTCCGTTTCTTATTCCGATCACTTTTTATTTTATTTATCGCTCTTTGATCATGTGGCTTCTATGGGGTCTTTTTCTGATAAGGTTGCTGAATTGATATCGTGGATGTCTTACGTTGTACGCCAACCCCCAGATGGTAGGACGTCCAACGAACGCAGCCTTGGCTCCGAGTGCCAACGCCTTGATCACATCCGTGCCATGACGGACGCCGCCGTCTAAATAAACTTCGATGCGTCCGGGGACTGCACTCACGACCTCTGGGAGGACCTCGATCTGCAGAAAGGTCGAAACATCAAATTTCTCTGGATACTTTGCTTATCTTTAATATGAATTTCAAGGTAGAACTGAAAGCTGAAATTAATTGAAGTTTGTCTTATTTGCTATAGACGCGTTCAGGCGGCTGTGCATGGGCGCCGCGATGACCGACCTTTCTGGGTTTTTTTTCTTTCGTCTTATTCCGTTAGCCGCCGCCATTTCAAGGTTACCAACTTCTCCATAGCACTTACCTATTTTCTTCTTCTTCCGTTCGCTTAACTTCATCATTGCCGCAGCAAAAAAGGTTATTGCCACTTTAAATGCTACTTAGTCCTTCTCCCCAGCATAGGCTTTCCTGGAGGCTCGTCAAAAACCGCTTCAGCTGCTCAACATCTAGTAAGAAGATATGGTCGGCAATGGCAGCTCAATCTGGCGCGTACATATAGCGTCTATATGGAAATGTTAGAACTTCTTTCGAAAGATTTAGTTTTAAAAATTGGCGAAAGGAACACTAATGATGTTTGCGTAGGTAAGCTCTACGGCAAGGGAGCATGATATAGGTGGTTAATCCTCAAGATACGTCAGTTAATTACCTAAGACTTTATAGGTCACTTTTCACTCTGTGAGATTACCCATATGGCTCTAATTAGAAACTTGCTACGCGTCATTGAAAACACCTAAATTAGTAAATTTGAGAAGGTTTTGATGGACGTGGGAAGCGAGGGGTGCACCAAAATTCTCACTTGTGCCTTGAGCAACAAGCACAAGGCTAGTGGTGTGAAAACGGACAGATTTCTACTATACGGGGTTGGATAGTGCTTAGATATGCTACATGCCGGGCACGAGTGAACCCATTGAGAAGTTCAATGCTTACCCCGGAAGTCCAGTGTTTGCTGGGATTTATTTCATAGAGCATTTAATCAATAATTTGGGTCACAGTTTCTTGCATTTTTTTACGTAGGCTTTAGTAATACATTTCAGCTTTTAATCTAGAGGCTTTTGAATGGGGACATCCACACCTGATCAACTGGAATCTCCAAGTTTCCGCAGATCACTTAGCTTTCCAGTGGACTTCTCGAGCCCGCATGAGCTGTCCTTGCGCAACAAGTGCACTCTCCTGAGATGACGAAAGATAAACCCACCGCCTTGAACTGTGTTTGAGCAAACGCTCTAAAGAGTTGGAAAGACTGTCAAGCGCTCATTTCCTGGACAAGACGCTTACATCTAGTGGCTTTATACCTGTTTACTCAATGCGCCATCCAGCACCCTAGCGATGATTAGTTCGAAGACGCGGATAAAAAATTGCATAGTGTCCGCGTATATGCACCGATAGCCTTGCGCCTGTTGCGGGAGTGGTAAGAAGTTGGCACAGCCCCTAACTTCCCACGTCCGTAAAAAATGGAGAAAATTGGCTGATGCGAGCGTGTTCGATGACGCTCAGAAAGCGTCTAATTGGAACCATATGTATATTTTTAATAATTATAGAAGCGAAGGAACCGCAATAGTGCACCAATCACTTAGGTTTTAAAACAATAACTAGACGAATTAAAAACCAAACACCCTTTATTTAAAGCCTGGGTCATGTAAAACGATGACGTTGAGCGGCACTGTGAGATCTCGTGACCTCGAGAGTCATGTGAAACAGTGAAATCACTTGACTTTATGATGGAACGTTGCACCGTGCCATCAAACGAAACCATAAACAACGTCACTAGATTAATCAGTTACGAAACTGCTCATAGACGCCCCTTGCACGAGCAGTACACCCCTCTTCCCCAACGGCTCGCCGTTCAGCGCACCACTGTTTTGGGGAGAGGGCTGCTATGGTACCAGTGTGTTCTATGGAATACGTATGTTTCGAAGCACAGCGTCTAGATATTTCACCGTCTTCTATGCAACGCACAGTTTTAACACAAAAATCTAGATGGCACCTCAAACGATGGGAGAAGGGGGGAGCGGAAAGAGAGAAGGTATCCTTTCCTTTTCACAATTGAAGATATCTAGTGACGTTTACCATGGCATCACATGACGCCGGTATATCACGTGTTACCGTGACGTCATGTGCCTCATCATTTTACCCTCAAAAGGAGACATACGAGGAGGATCAATAAATGCTTTGCCTCCAGACCGCCTTTCTAAAATGCAACAGCGACAACTTTTTTCTATTTATTACTGCGTTTTTGGAAAGGCGTAGGATGGGGGCGTGCAGACCTTGAAGGTTAACGCAGGAAAGCAATGTTGTCATCCCTTGCTGCCACAACCGGTTATTTGTTTTGCAGTGATGAGTATGGCTAGGTTCTTGTAAAACAGCACCACTGCGTTGGTATCTAAATAATGCTGTGTTGGAACAAAAGCAGTGTAACAGTCGCTAAACAATTCAAACGCTAAGAGCAACGATTAAGGCTGCCAGTCCTTACAATATCATTATTTTTTATATCAGTTTTCTTTTATTTTCAGTCACTGCTGAGCTTATGCAAGCAAGAGTTGCCGCGGAGCAGGAACGCGTATTACAACGCGATTTCGAAGCAAACAAAGGCGTGTTCTGTTAGCGATGTAACGAACGTAAAGCTTGTAAGCCTTAGGAAGAACTTTCAACCCACAATAATTGCTTCAAATATTCCTTCTTCCCCGCGCTATCAACGAATGGAATCACTTGCCGCGAAACATTGTACATTCCACCAGTGTAGAGCAGTTTCTTAGTAACTTAGAAGCGCACCTGTCGACATAGGCTTGCATACCATTATCTTCAAATGTGTATTAAAAAAATATATATTTTTGTATGATGTACCACCCTACAACAATCCAGAATGGGATTAGAAGTATTTGAAATAATAAATAATTGAACGTAAACGAACGTGTGCTGGCGCGTATCAGCAATAATGGAGGTAAATGGTTTCGTTTCCTGTATAAATACATGGTGTGTAATAATGTGTACGTTATTCGGCTTGCTGATACAGTCGCGGAATATAATAAAATTCCAGCCGAGCGCGTGTCATAGAAGGCCTGCAGCGCAATTGATTATCAGAATGAAACTCGACCATTATTGAGGCTTTAGCGGCGGCTCAAATTTGCTTTCACTCTCCGCTTGACCGGCTGTCACTGAGTTAACGTTGATTTCAATTCCAATTGGAGAAGCGTTCCGCAACAAACAGTAATATCAAGCACAGTTGAAACCACGCGGTCGGAAAGTTGAGAAATTAGCTTCTGGGACCTTTTTTAATAAGTTCGCGGGATAAAAGATGATAAGCGATGATTCCACCTTATGAAATAAACTAAAAACCGCTTATGTTTTTTCATCCCACGTCCTTATCACACAACACATTCAATCTACACTCTAAACTCTATACTTGCCCTGGTTTTTTGTTTTAGAACGCGTAAGCTTGATCCAGAAACAGCGCCAAAATTGGGGTCGAGTCAGCAATCGCTTGCAGACCAAGTGGAGAGAAAAAAAAATTCCTGAGCCACGCTCTCAACTGCGTTGTTTTATGTCACACGCGTCTGCACCTTAATTGCGTAAATAGGACAAGGGCAGACAAGAAAGGGCAGGAAACTTTCGGCTATACTCGTTTCATAGAGGGCAGGCATATAAGGGTGTTTTTTGCAGGAACACCGGACATATAGTCAAGATTCAAACTGAGCCTTTTTGAAAGTCAAGTGCCGATTGTTAGGAGGTCCGAATCGCTGCACGATGGAGGACGAACCGAGATCGTGGAAAGCGCAAGCCATTTCAAGAAATAGGGAGAGTTGGAGCACGACCAACGCTAGGTGCGAACGAGCCAATGAAACAGTCTCGAAACTGCAACGTCACTGCGCTCTTCACCTTTTACCTTGTATCTGTGTGTGGGCGTTTGTGTATGTGTGTGTGTTTGTGTTTATTTGTAAGTGCCTGCTTTCTAGTGCCACCAAACGCATAAAGTGTGCCGTGCAGTTGCGAGTTTAGTCGGCTATTGTGCAGACATTTCACAGTTGCCAACAGAGGGAAGCCCTTCAAAAAGGGGTATATTGGAAGCTTTTCTGTCAGGGTTTCCTCGGTACAAATGTGTTAAAATAAAGTTAAAGTACAAGTTCAACTTTCAGTGAATATTTTAAACAAAATTACTTTCAATAGGGTGGTTGAAAGTGAGAAAAAAAATTAACGTTTCTTGGCAACACGTGCAAGCCACGGAAAAATTAGCTAAATACTTAACTAATATTTACTCATTTACTTTTTAGTTAGCAAAAGTAAAAATATGGTCTCAATATAAAAAAAAAAAATTTCAGAGCGTCAGCCCCAAACCCTGAATCGACCAGTTTTAGCAAGACTTTATGCAGGTGTGAAGTGCGGAAGTCTGCGCTGAAGTGTCCACTCGTGTTGCAGGCACATTGAGGCCGATTCGAAAACGCGTACGATATTCTTATCATACCCCGTTGTTTAGTCGTTCTACGATTGCCAATATAAGGGTGTGCACTCATCTCATCAGGGTGTGCACTCATCTCGCGATTCTTGCGTGACTGCACAATTTACGGGGGCCGATAAAAAGTAATGATATATCGGCGTCGGTGTCGCAGTTGCCGTCGCCGTAACCGTTATATGCGAGAACTTGCACCTAAGTGACCCTTTATGCAACACTGCGCTCGTTGCACTATGGGACGTCACGGGACACTGCTTCACTAAATGCGCCTTGACGCCTCTCGCTGCCACCGAACAGGGCACTCACCGAACCCCCTTCTCCTCCTTTCTCACCTGCACTCAATTAAAAACAACGAATCAATATATATATTGTGAGACTTGAGAAGGGTTGATTTAATGGGGTGATAGTTGACTGAACGATGGCGGTCTCTGACGAACTGACTTCTTCTTCCTTCACCACAGTTACTCCTCTGTGCAGAAAGCGCCGGAATCCGGCGTTAGGGTGCAGGACGGTGGTAACGCTTGAGGCGTGCAAAATGGACAATGTCAGTTTGTTTTGAGCGATGGTCCGAGTGTGGGGAAACCGGGGCGACCTCGTAGTTGGTCGCTGAGATTCGGCGAAGTATTT